AACATACACTAACGTGGCCACCCCAAAGACAGCTTCATTTGGTCCTTTTAAGTGTTTTTGGGACTTTACAAACACAGCCTGAATCTAAACAATATATATTTAAAAACTACATATGTGTATTACAGCAACGGATTTAAGTGAAAAATTAGACTAAAATATCACACAATACATTCCCTAAGTGAGTCAATATTTGGCCTGAAAGCAATCATTCTTTGTGATGTACTTCCCTTCAAAAGTACATTTGTTTACACCATGAAGTCTCCAGTGGGATTCATAGCAACAGAATGTTCTAACTACGCAGTCTATCTCAGGATGTCATCTGAATGCCCAGGTGCAATAATACAACAGTCAACAAGGTACATTCTACCCTCATATTTCTTATAGTTTAAGAGTCTTAAATTCCTGTCTCCATGAGAAAATGTAGTCCTCCATTGGTTCAAAAAGTAGGGCAGAGAAAATGAATGGAGGACTGCTGCAGGAAGCTGCTAAGAAATTAACTAGCTATGAGTCTTTTTCTCTGGCTCATCATTGTGACACAGAATAATGGTAACTCAAAAATCATCATGTATATGTCTTTAAAGGCTGATTCCCCATCACTCTTATTGGTAACACACATCCATTCAGGATTTCATTCATAAGGAAGAGGCTTTAAATCAGTAGTTAGACTACAGAAATGTCTTATTTTCTTGGTTAGTTAGAAGATTTTTTTCATACAACAATTTTCTTCTTCATGAAAGAAGAGAATAATAAATCCAATATAGTGACCTTCATCAAACTGGGTTCATTCTTCAGAACAATGTTAAGCCAGTTCTTCCCAAAACTTAGTAAATAAGAACAATCATATTTTTCATAGTCAAAACAACAGATTCACATTCTTTACTTAAAATTTTGAGGCAGGTAAAGAAAGATACATTTCAAACAAGTAAAATTATTTGCGCCTGATAATATTAAAACTGCATTTCCTCTTATAAAAGCTGTAATCAAAAAACGCGTGCATCAAAATTGGAGTTGGAACAAATGACAATATTTTGTTGTTGTCAACCATCATTCTAAACAAAGGGAATTTACTGAACTTTCAAAAAGGTATTCTCCTTTGTACCATATAAAAGCATGACAAATTTTAGCCCAAATGCTTTATTTGAAAAGTTCCAAGTGTCTAGAGTGATGATGATAAAAGTGCCTTTTCAACCCTAACTTCATAGTTAGTATACTATACTACTATGATAGACAGTAGCCTTCAATGGACTAAGGAGGAAAAGATAGATGTAGCTCTGCTTAAAGGTAGTCCAATGGCCAGCCCCGTAACTTATATGTGAGAAAAAAGGTCTAACGTCAAAATAAGAAAGACATTCACTTATACACACATTCTACTCACTAAAAACAAGGTTGTAAAATAACCTAACATAAAGGAATCAAAAGAGGTGAGTCCACCTTATAGGATAGACAAATTGTTTCTGAATGTGACATGTAGACAGAGCACTGAGTACTATTACTGAAGCAGCCAGCACTCTAACAGGGATAAGGAGAAGTCCAAAAGCATGTCCAAAAACGGGTTCAGATGAGTGAATGTGTGCTAGAATGTCTGCTGGATTGCAGAAAGGGCCAAGTCAAAGCACAGATCAGCTTTCCCAACCTAATCAGTGATTGCCAAGTACTCAGCTTAGCTTTGCCTGATGAAGCAATAAATAAGAGGAAAGGTGTCATACAAGGTATCATGAGTCATACGTAGCTTCTCGAGGGACACTAAAAATTGTCAACTACAGAATGGATAGAACTTAATAAAAGACAGTTACTTAAAATATTATTCACTTGATTCAAGTACCGTTTTCATACTATACCTATAGAAAATACTTGGAGCAATAGTGAAATATTCCCTTCCATAAGGAACTTAAAGATTTCTACCAAGAACTAAAGATTAGGGTTAAATAAGTAAAATAAACACTAAACAATAGAAAACTAAGAAAATATATGAACATGCTTGACTGAAGAGTATGAGATCAGCCCCAGGGTGTAACAGCAAGAAAGTAGAGCTGGGACTATATCTACAGAGAGGTGATGTTCAGCCTGGAGGAGCAGGCTCTGGCCAACTGAGCACTATGCAGATAACAAGCCTTGGCATTAGTATCTGACAATCAGCTAGCTTCCCCAAGTGACAGCGCCTTTCTGCAGCACATGCACCAGATCTTAACAATCACACAGCTTTGCATTTAAGAATACTCTTCTCAAGAAGATCTTGGATCCTTTGAAGATACCATCCAATTCATCTTCATGCTTCCCTATAAGAATGGGACAGGGATGATATTCTTTTTGTGGCTAAGGAAATGAAGCATAAGCACACAGCACCACATTCAAATTTCTTCTAAACAACATGTGTGGACACATTATTTGTGATTGTTCAGGTCTACTTAGTCAGCTTAGCTATTCTTAATCCATTTAATTCTTTTAGTGAGCATACTGGAAACTGACATTTGTTCAGAAATATGAAATACAAATTAAAATTAGTTCAGGGCTCTTAAAATGAGACAGATTGAGGCCAAGTGTGGTGGCTCATGTCTCTAATCTCAGCACTTAGGGAGGCCAAGGTGAGAGGACTGCTTGAACCCAGGAGTTCAAGAGTGGCCCGGATAATATAGCGAGACCTCATTTCTTTTTTTTTTGAGTTGGAGTCTCACTCTGTCTCCCAGACTGGAGTGCAGTGGCCGCTCCCGGCCACCGCAGTCTCGACCTGCTGGGCTCCAGCGATCCTTCCTCCTCAGCCTTCCAAGTATCCGGAATTACAGGCATGCGCTACCATGCCCGGCTGATTTTTTGATTTATTGTAGAGATGAGGTCTCACTGCCCAAGCGGGTCTCAAACCCGCGGGCTCAAGCAATCCACTCACCTCAGCCTCCCAAAGGCGCAGGATTACAGGCTGAGTCACCGAGCCTGGCTCCAATAAATATTTTATATGATCATTTAATAAAAGTGTTAAGCAGGCATGATGGTGTGTGCCTGTAGTCCCAGCTACTTAGGAAGCTGAGGTGGGAGGATTGCTTGAGCACAGGAGTTTAAGGCTGTAGTGTGCTATGATTGCACCTGTGAATAGTCACTGCACTCCAGCCTGGGTGGCATAGCAAGACCCAATCTCTAAAAAATAAAAATTAAAAAAAAGGTGTTCTATGAGTCTCATAGGCTGTTCAACTGTAATCCAAAAAAAAAAAGTATGTGTTCTAATTAGTCACATTAGCACAAGGAAAGGATCGGCAGTCGCTGGACACTGCTGGGGAAGGGAGGAAAGAAGGGTGGGGAGCACACGACAACACAAAGGCTACCTGGTTCACTACCAGGGGGAGTGAGGGCCAGTTAGAAGCTCAAACTTCACTTGCATGCAGTCTGCTTATGTAGTTAATCCTCACTTGTACTCCACATCTCTATAAAAAATAAAATAAAATAAAGACATATTTAGATACAAAGACTGAAAAACAATTCTGTGTTCTGGGTAGCAGTAGATCCTTAATGATGAGCGATAATTGCTGTGTATCTATCTACTTGATGCGTTGCCTTAATTCTGTTTTAAAGATAAGTGCTAACTATTCAAATAGTTGAGTTAAAGAGATCTGAATAGCACTAAAGTACAGACTTTACAGAGACTCTTGTAGTAGAAATTCAGACATTTATGCCAGTAATTTATTCTTGAGTTACTTTTTTTTCCTTTGGACTAATTCAGCCCAAAATAATTTGGAATTAGGGAAAGTTTGCTTTTGCCAGTTTGAAGATAAAGATGAATGTGGAGACTGAATTCACTCTGTATATCCTACTTTAGATTTCTGGTATTTTGTTGTTGTTGTTTTGAGTTGGAGTCTCACTCCTTTACACAGGCTGGAGTGCAGTGGCCTGCATGCTCACGGTCACCCAGCGTCTACCTCCTGGGCTGCAGTGATCCTTCCGCCTCAGCCTTACAAGTAGCCGGAACTATAGATGTACGCTACCACACCTGGCTCTTTTTTATTTTATTGTAGAGATAAAGATTTAGACTCACTCGCCTCAGCCTCTGAAAGTGCTGGGATTACAGGCTGAGCCACCGAGCCCGTTCTACTTTAGATTTCTGATGTCTAATTTTGACCTTTTTTATTTTATAACTGAAATAACATTTTAAAAGTGTTTGTTTTTATGTAGAATATATGGTATGTGCATGAGAAGTCAGAATACAAATACCTGTTTTAAATAAAGCACTAAATAATGTTTTTTGCTAATGTGTAATGTAATAACTTTTTAAAAGCCCAAAGGACCATAGACATACTAGATTGTAAACTCCTGAAGGCAAGGACTGTGACTTACTCATCTTTGTTTTTTTCCCCTAGATCTTAGCACATTACCTTGAGCACAGAAAGCAATGAGTAATTATTTTTAATGAATTGATCTATGATGGAATTTATCCAACTAAAAACCCAAAGACTTATTTAAGTATATGTGCTTTCTTACAAGAATAACACTTCTTTCTGAAATATGGAGAATAGGAAAAAAATAAAGGGTTCATTACACTTAGTATTTCAAAATTAAGATGAACCAAAACATATACTATGGGGTGATTATTTATTTTTACCTAAGACTGTCTTTTAATATTTTTTATAATTTGATAGTTCATCGAATTTTTTAAAGCAGCAAATGCTTAATACATTTAGCATTTTATTTACTAAAGTTGCAGTCATTCAGGAATGGACCAATTATGGAAAGTGAGTTACATGTGTATATTAAACATATTAAACTCAAAAGGGGAACTTTTGGCAGGAGGAAAAGATTAAATGAGTGTGTATTTAATTGAACAAAATCCACACTAATAGTAGGTATCTTTATAGGGTAGAAAACTGAAACCTAACTTGTCTGGAGTCACATGGTGAGTTTGCTGGAGATTGAAATTAGACCCAAAGATTTCTGGATCCCAAGTTTCATGTTTCAATATTTGGTGTTACTTAAAGTGACTCATAAAATTAATTGATGTCATGTGTTGGTACTTAGGTGACCTTGCAACTTGATGGATGACAACAATCCTTTTCGACCAAAAAGTAAGTATTGCTGCTGCAGTTGATACTAATATACATGACTATTGTATTGAAAACCTTTTGTTAGGAAAAAAGGTTAGAGACAGAAGTGGGCACATTTTCTTAAAAATATTTATTGAAGCAATATATACTCATAGTAAAAATCAAACAGTATGCAGTAAAAATGTCAATAAAGTAGAAATGTCAGTAAGTAGAAGTGTTCCCTCCTGATCCCCAAAGATAACTATTATTGTAAGTTTAGTATACATAATCACAGACTTTTTTCTATGCATAGACAAAAAAACCAGGTTATTTCTAAATAAGATAATACCATTATGATCTTATGCTATTATGTGCCTTTTAAAGATTTTTACTCAGCCGGGCTCGGTGGCTCAGCCTGTAATCCCGCGCCTTTGGGAGGCTGAGGTGAGTGGATTGCCTGAGCCCGCGGGTTCGAGACCCGCGTGGGCAACTTGGCGAGACCTCATCTCTACAATAAATCAAAAAATTAGCCGGTCGTGGTAGTGCGCGCCTGTAATTCCAGCTACTCGGAAGGCTGAGGCGGAAGGATCGCCGGAGCCCACCAGGCGAGGCTGCGGTGGCCAGGAGCGGCCACTGCACTCTAGTCTGGGTGACAGAGTGAGACTCCAACTCAAAAAAAAAAAAAAAAAAAGATTTTTACTCAACAGTATATTTTGGCTATTTTGACAACGGCAGAACCTAGTCAAAAAGAATGAGGAAGACCTATGTGTCACATCAACAGAGATATAAATGATTTGATTTTTTGTTATCAATATACATGGGTCTCCCTCATTTCTTTAAATTTTACATTTCCTGACTTTGCCTAGTTTCTTAGCCCGTAAATTATTATATGTCAAGTGCCTACTACATATCCAGTAGATTACCATATATGGGGGAAATACAAAGGAATAAGATAGGTCTTCACTCTCAAGGAGCTTACTTTGGAGTTGGGCATGTATAATTAAGACACATTAAGAAGTAGTGAGCAGTTTGAGATCATATATATTAAATTTTGAATTGCATGACATAAACTGTCAGTACGGAAAGAGGTGGAAGAAAAATACTTTTAACGGTTTATTGAGGAAGTTATAATTGAACTAAGAGTTGGGAAGGGGCAGGTAATTAATATTTTGGGGGTATTTGCTTGAAGTTAAATACTTTATGTGACATTTTTCTGAATCTCTGGTTACCACTTCTATTTGGTAGATATTGTACCCATGTTAGAGGTGAGGAAATAGGTTCAAGTAATTTCTCCAGAGTTATATTATTAGAAATGGTACAATAAGGAACTGCTCAATTTTATGTCAAGTTTATGCTCCTTCCATTATACTCAAATGATGTGGACAATATAAGGTAAGGAGAAAGGATATTCTAGGTAGCAGAGGCAGTACGAATATATGGGCCTCAGGGTACATAATGAGGGTGATGTTTTTGAGTATTCAAAATTATGCTTTTAATTTTTTGACTTAAAGCATTCTATATAATGTTTTTTGAGGTATTGTTAGAAAAAAGGGAGTTGTTTCATAAACTGGTGACATTTGAGAGGATGGAAAGGTTTTATGTTTTAGGGGATTTGCTTGATAGGTGTACTACTAAACTTTAAACATTATGCCGAGAGGTGATCTGTGGCATACCTGTATAGAAGGTAGAATTAAAATTATGGCCAGGCACAGTGGCTCATGCCTGTAATCCCAGCACTTTGAGAGACTGAGTCAGGAGGATTACTTGAGCCCAGGAGTTTGAGACCAGCCTAGGCAATATAGTGAAACCTACTCTCTACAAAAAAAAAAAAAAATCAAAAAATTATCTGAGCATGGTGGCACATCCCTATAGTCCCAGCTACTCAGGAGGCTGAGGCGGAAGGCTTGCCTGAGCCCAGGAAATCAAGGCTGTGGGGAACTGTGATTGTGCCACTTGCACTCCAGTCTGAGCAACAGAGTGAGACCCTGACTCAAAAAAATTAATTAAAATGTTAAAAAAAGTGACACCAGTTTGTTAAAATGTTTTTGTTTGTATGCTATCTCAAATTATTATTTTCAAGTAGTGCCTTTTAAGGCCATTCTAAAGTTTAGTCTTAATTTTGAGTCAAAAGTAGAAATTTCAGCCGGGCTCGGTGGCGCAGCCTGTAATCCCGTGCCTTTGGGAAGCTGAGGTGAGTGGATTGCCTGAGCCCGCGGGTTTGAGACCCGCCTGGGCAGCGTAGACCTCATCTCTACAATAAATCAAAAAATCAGCTGGGTGTGGTAGCATGCGCCTGTAATTCCGGCTACTTGGAGGGCTGAGGCGGAAGGATTGCCGGAGCCCAGCAG